TATTTTATCGGCGTGACCAAATATACTCATCAACGTGTTATTCTTTTCCGATAAACATTGTTCATAAACCATGGTAGCCTTAAACCCTGTTCAAACAGGATTGAAAGTATATACTTTTTAAATTCTTTAAAATGCAATCTCCTTTAAAGAGTGAAAATTGAGCCAGTTTTGAAAAAGAATGACTCAATTTTAAATCTTTAGAGTGACATTTAACTTAAATATAAACTCTAAGAGTTTTAGTAGAAAAAGTAGAAGTCAGAAATTTTCCAGGAGGAAAAATTAATAATAAACGATTTATTAAGACCGTATATGTTAATACACAACGAATAAGAATCTAAAGCCCGTATTAGTCGAAGCTGAATCTTAGATGCTTAAATATTATAATTTACATGTAAATTATTTAAGCGTCTAAGACTATGTCTACACAAACACTCTTAATGGGATTTAAGAACATTCAAAAAAGTTAAAAACTGGCCAGTTACAGTTATGTCATTCTTCAGAAAAATATATAACTATGATTGTCCAGTTTCATAATTACAGGTATTATTAAACCTGATTAAGTGTGCCGTGTAAACGTAGTCTAAGAAGTTTTAATTAGTACAGGCTTCGGAATAAAATTATACGTACCTATGATCGAAAAGACGACGATTCCCGCGAACATAGACGTGAAGCAATTCGTCAGGCTGACCATGATGGCGTCACGGTAACAATTATTATTTACTGGGTTGTACGAAGAGAATGCTATCAGTCCGCCGAAAGCTAGCCCTAAGGAGAAAAAGATTTGCGTTCCAGCCTCCAGCCAAACTACAGGATCAGTCAACGTCCACCACTAAAATGCAAAAGTGAATCGGTAATTATTTAAACTTTGTTTATCAATAAAAAAAAATAAAGATATAGAAGAAAATTGTAAGAACGCACTTTTGGCGTGAAGAGATGCCGCAAACCGTCCGACATACCCGTCAACGTCACGCCTCGGAAGAAGAAAATAATCAGGACAATATACGGAAACGTAGCGGTTACGTATACGACCTAAACGAAATCAACCTGATCACTTGAAGTTATAATAACTAATTTTAACTGTAAAAGTTCCCGTACCTTGCCTGAAGACGCGATACCCTTAATCATGCACATGTAGACGAGAATCCAGGCGATAATTAGCGCTAAAGCAATTTTCCAATTAAACACTTCCGGTGTATTGATATCCTTAGATATCATCAGAGTGGTTCGATACCAAAAGTATTGCGTAGGGCTGCTGACCTGTTGACCCAAGTCTCACGTTAAAAACAAAGCCGAGCTTATAATACCTATACTAGAATGTACACAGGTGAAATGATTTATATTGTATCGTATTAAATTTTGGCATTACCAAACACTCGGGTTCAGGTGCGTAAGATCCATTTTGGAAATACCTATTGGGACATTCTGCCCAAGGTAGCTGCGATTGGAAACTCTTTGAACAGATTCAGATTTCTATAAGTGATTCCGCACGACATGTCCATAATAACGAAATTAAGCAAATTCTAATCGTTTACCTGAACGAAATAAAATAAGCACCAAGCGATAATTGTATTATAGTAAAGAGCCACATTGAAAGAGACTACGGCACTGCTAATTCCGATGCCACCCATATACGGGGATACCTTTTAAAATACAGTAGAAAACTTATTTTTAAATATTTGCTTCAGTTTATTTAGTTGAATTTTTTTCTATTTACCTGATTCCATACTCCAATAGCGCCTTTTCTCAGTCTCTGGCCAATTGCCAATTCTAGATAAAATATAGGAATACCCTCGATGGCCAGCATTACGAAATAAGGAATTAGAAAAGCGCCTACAAATATTAGAATTCGTGTTTAGAATTTGAATGTAAAAGAGCTTGAGCGATATCTGTACGAAGCAAACGCACCTCCGCCGTTCTTCTGAGCTAGATAGGGGAACCGCCATACGTTTCCAAGGCCCACTGCATATCCTACGGTCGCCAGGAGAAATGTAAGCTTACTATCCCAATTTTCACGCTCATCTTCGCCCGCTTCCGGTCGAAAAGTCGCCTTGCCATCATTGTTGCCGGGGCCGTTTCCTATTTTGCTCTGTGGATCAAATTCATTTTATTTCATTCGAAATTTATTTGATCACCCTCTTAGGGAGCCATAAATAGCCATGTACCTTGTTAGGGCTGGTGTCTTCGAAGGCCGCATTAGTGGCCCCGTAATTGGCAGTGGCGACGTTCTTCCGATTATCCACCACTAATCTACCACGCATCTCTTTCATCTCGAGCTTATCGATGCTTTTTTGCGGCTTTAGATCGCGGGAACTTTGCCGGCGAACGAGATGAGCCGTGTTCGCCATCCCTTTTCCCTTTTCGTTTTAATCTTTTTCAAGTTTAATCTTGATTAAACAAAAAGATCTAGGCGCTTCATCCTGTAAGAAAATAATTAAAATGGTTATTAAAAAGATAAAGGTGGACAAAGCTTAAACAAAGTAGTCAACAGGAATCATGTATAAAAAAAGTTATAAATTTTCTTTAAAAAGGAAAAATAGATGTTTGTGATGAATTAATACAAAATCAATTAATATAATAGCAATATAATATATAAACATATGTTATACAATAATAATTATAAAAGGAGAAATTACATTAAAATTTAACAATACGATTTATCGATAATACGTTATTTGTGGTGACTACAATACATATTCGCGCGAATCAGTTTGTTATTTAATTGTGGCCAACTTTAATTCTCTCATATAGAAATTGTCCATATGTACACATTTATGGGTCCAACTATATTGATATGTGGGTGATACATATATATATATATATACACACACACACACACGCCATATATATATTATATATATACATATTACTCTCACATAGGTGTCGATCGCAATCAAACGCATATATACTTTCCAAGTACACATGTGCCCTTCTTACGTAGACTAACATACACATCTCTTATGTATAAAAAAATTGATTGCAAACTTTAAACTGAAAATTGATTTTTGCTTTGACGTAGGTGCATGTTCTAGCACGCGTGCACAGACACAAGTTTTATTAAAATTTTTACGCATATCTCCATATGAGAGAAAGATTTACTTTTAGTAAAATTAAATATATATGCCATATGGGGCTTTCCGATGCATGTGTAAAATATCAACGTCGCACGCGAGTCTTGCATCTCACTGTACGTATATATATTAATGATTGACATAGAAAATCTAAGTTGCTTCCTCGCGTGTAAACGCCGAGACGGCTTTATTTGGACGTACGTCCGTCACAAGAGAGGCACACGTCCTGCGGAATCGTTCACTCGTCTTTCCGTCGCGAGACAGAGACCAAGGAAGCAAAATCCTTTTACCCACCTGCCGGGGACCAAAGGGTGAAACGCGCGAGGACCTTGTCCGCGGTCGAGGAGCGGTTCGCCACTGGTGACACCCCCACTGGTGTGTGCGCTAGTGATAGTAACTTTTGAAACCACGGATATATCCAAGAGAATCAATAGCTGGCGTCGGCGCCTGCGACGCTTTTCTCTTTCGCCCGCGACTCTCGCGGAACAAGAAACCGCGTGCAAGCCCTTCTCCGAGAGGAAGACATTAGGAGTAGGGAGATAGAGTGAAGGGTTATAACTTATCGTCATCCTGGAAGTTAACATATGTAAATCATGACAGTATACACATAAAGTATAAAATATTAGGGATACATCAGATATTCGGGAAATATCCGATATATTGTTCTCGATACTTTTTTACTATCTGGTTGGATAGCCGAATCATATCCAATAAGATATCCGGCTGAAATTTTATATTGAAAGCTTGTCTTCATTGATACAAAATTTCATTCTGCCTAACTCACTTTCCCCCCAGATATAATTCGAAATATCAAGTATCCGATCGGATAATTGCTCTACCGGATATCTAAAAAGAATGTTATCTAATATCCGGTAATGTTTTACGATCCGTTATTTATATTATTACGCAACCGTAGGAAATATATGTATAAAAAAATTAAAAATTAAAAATTACTCTCCGTATGAACACGATGAAGAAAATTAGGATAACGCTTCACAGTTTAATATAAGAAATTAAGACACGCAAGGATTATTTTTAATTATGATTTGAGTTGTATCGATAATCAATTATTTTATTACTTAAATTTATATATTATAGAAAATACTTATAAATTAAAAGTAAATCTTGTTTAAAGAGGGAGAATAATTGTTTAAAAAAATTAAAACTCTGTAATTTTATTTTGCATCGATAATTGTAATTACACTATTCTTTATTTTCTATTATATTTTCTATTACAACACACACATATAAGTATAATGTAACTGATTACTGATATAGGTAAGATAATAATCAGAACTTGCGAATTTTAATTTATATATATATATATATATATAAAGTAAACAATATAATATCTTCATTTTTGCATAATTTTGAAAAGGAAGTTCAATTCGTTTGTACTTCCTTACTTCATTGGATTTTTTCCTTTCTAATGAAGACTTTCCTTACCTAAAAACTGTGTAAAAGCGAGGATTTCTAAAACAAAAACAATTTTTGTTAAATCTTCCTACAGATAATATTTAAATAACTGAATTTAAATTGTTTAATTAATTAAAGAATTGTAATAACTTCAATTTACAAAACTTTTATCCCAGTTCAGTTTAAGATTATGTTTAAAAATTGAAAATGTTATTGGCGTGTAGTTATAAAACTGATGTATGTATATAAAATCACACCGCGCGCGCGCGAAACATTATTTAAATACTAATATGCAACATAAACCGACAAGATCTTTTCTTTACTTATTGTGAATTCAAATTGCACTTATATAAAAATTATTAATAATAATAAATATTTTAATAATATTCCACAGATATTAAAGGCATAATACTAGATATTATGTAAAGGTATTATGTAAAGTGGACATATAATATCTACAGAATATTTCCATATTAAATAATATTTATATAACATTCTAAGAATATTTTGCGCTTAGAGTGAATTTATAATTCATTATAATTATCTTTAATATTATTTACATGTACGAGTCAATATGGTCTAGAATGGAGGGGACGGTATGTGTGAATAAGGTGAAATTATAAATGTGACCCACACATTGCGCATAATGGCGGAAGTCACGGTAATCTAAGATTTCGACCAATCAGAAATTGAGCGCATTTACGCCTGAACGAATCATGTGAATTTCTGCAAATGAGGAATCCAAACAATTAAAGTATTGAAAACAGAATTTCCTATTCAGAATTTTAAATTGAGGAATATTAAACATTAGGAATAGAAATAAAAATAAATAGGGTTAAACAATTAAAATTATGTCCTTTAATTTACGATATTTTAAAAATTTGCTAGGAAACTGTATGCAATTGTAAGAAAAAATAAAAATGTATTCGGATTGAGAAAAGTATTCAATAACATTCGCAAATGCATTTTTCTGGAGAATTCAATTTCAATTCATTCTTGTTTACTGAGCTCACATATGTATGTATATATATACGTTTTAAATAGTTTTTATTATTTTTGTTGGATGCAAATGAAGACATAAATTACACATACTGTTTATATTCTTCCTTCCACGATCCTCTTCCTTGAAAGAAGAAATCAGATTGTAGACACTCTCCTCTGTCTTGTAATCAATTGATTTCATGCAATTGCTGATACGAAGATACCTGATGCATACAAAACACGATAAATTAAATATTATATTAAAATTTTATTTATCACAGCTGTTCTTAAAAAGATAAAGACATGTCATGAAAGAACTGGTAACCCTCTACGGCCCACTGCAGGAGCAGTTCAAGCGTTGGTCGATAAGGTGTTCCTTTAATTAATTCCTGCATTATTTCGTCCTTTAAAGATATCTTGCTTCTAGCGTTTTCTAAATTAACCAAATAATTCTTCAAATCCTGAAATCGCAAATTCAAATGTCATGTTCTCTATGTCAACTTGTAGAATGAAGATAATACCTGATTGGCATCATTAAATTGCATCAAGATATCCGAGAGAAGTGCAATTTCTTCCTCGAGACCCATAAGGATTTTAAATATCAGTCTTTCCCGTGTTTCTTGATCCACACTATCTTCTGATTCTTCCATTTCTTCACTGTAAAACAAAGAAAATTTAATCGATGCTAAGAAGTCTGATTTGTTTTCTTATATATATTAATTATATGAATTAGATTAATTTACTTTCAAATTCAAAAGCTGTTATTCGAACTATTTGAATTTTCGTGACTGGGTCGATATAAGCGTTTTGTGCCTGTACTCGCATAGGATTAGGCCCTGCGCACAATGGAGTATAAATATTAAGAATAGGAATAAAAATATTGAGATTTCAACCTATCAGATACCAATTATATCGGAATACACAATTTCTGATATACCACATCATTTTGAATTCGATAATTAAAATCGTTGATTTTAATCGTTATCGATGTTATCGCAATTATAAAAAATCGTTATTTTTCTAAAATCAATTATTTGAACGTCATTTTTTTCAACATCGTCTGCCTTCGTTTTGCCACGCGCAATCGCGCCACCTGGTATACTCCCGTCAAAATCCCGCGTGATCATCGAAACAGCTGATCATCATGCAATACAGAGAAGCTAATTGTTGTCCACTTACTTCGTGACATGATGTAATTGCTCCGTTCGATTAACTAGACCTTCAAGAGGTCTCTCGGCTTTCTTCGATAATTCCCTCCATTTGTCATCCAGCCTTTCTAGACGTAAAAAGTAGCGAACGAGGCACGCGTGAAGCTCCCGTGCCATCTTTGAATTCCCAAGTGGAGCATCAAGATTTTCATTTCCGAAAAAATCATCTAATTTCCCAATTTTTAGGAAATCCGATTCATCGCGGCGACAGGCAAGAGCAAATTGCGAGATGACAGTTTAGTGACAGTTGGCAGGAGTATATGACCAGCGGCCGGCGGTCGCCACAGAACATATATGCATAAGGATGGCCACACGTGACCATGTCCGTCTACTGACTTTTATGGGCCTCCTACCAATAAGCCGTGAGTCACAAATCATAAGTCATAAGCTAGAAATGGACCAATCACAGTCGTCAATTTTTAGTGCGTTATGCAAAAGTCTGTGCTCCCCGCTTTAATCCCGGGCATGACCGCTCTCAGGCTTCTCTCTGGTACAATCAAAAGTTAGAAAGTTTTAAAGTACCGGTAAATAGGGACAGATATGTAAGAATGTAAAGCGGGGAGCACAGACTTTTGCATAACGCATAAAGCATGTGCATAAGGAATTTCATTGGTCCATTTTCTTATGCATGAGTCAATGGACCAATCAAATTCTTTATGTATATGATTTATGCGTTATGCAAAAGTCTGTGCTCCCCGCTTAAGGCTGGAGTCACATTGAGCGGAAATCTACAGCGGAACGGAACAGCGAGACCAATCACAATCGCAGAAAGTAAAGCAGCCACAGACTTCTATAATATATAGAAGTATACTTCTATATATAGAAGTCTGTGAAAGCAGCGGAATAATTGTAGAGTTCTGATTGGATTCACTGTTCCGTTCCGCTGTAATTTCCGCTCCATGTGACTCCAGCCTTAAGTGATATGTGAGAGTGTGTTGAGTGCGCTGAGTGTTGTCACCTCGAGACCTCGGGTTATCTGTCAAGAGTGAGATTCTGAAACTGAGGTTTGCGTGCTACTTGGTTTGAACGTGAATCGATTCGGCGAGTCGAAAAAAGAGAATACAATCGTGCGGATATCGCGACGCGAGAAAATAAGACGTTTCATCGCGGACTTAAAAATGAAACTTAACTGAACAACATCATTGTTCTTTTTCGCACATCCGTGCATCGGATACGGGCTATCTGTTTTGCTCCGATATCGTCGTGTCCAAATCGTCGACAATGCAAAGTGTAATAAATTCCGTGAAAGGCACTGCGTTGGGCGTCGCCGAATACTTGACGCCGGTACTGAAGGTAAACTCTCATCCGCTTCCAATTGATATTACATATGTTGAGAGTTTCAAATAATGTCATATTTCAGCCTTGTCAAGTCATCTTTACATCTTTAAGAACTCATAATAAGATAATGTAAATTTCCTTACAAACATAAATCAGCCAAGATAAGCCATTTCCATTGTTTATACTCAGTAAGCACAATGTTAACAGTACGTCAACATATTTGAAAGAAGTAGTACAACAGATTGATATCAATAAATATATTTACATTAAGTTCATGTTCTACCGATTTATGCCTGTTTCCACTTCTGGACAGATTAACTTTAATCTCAGTTCAACTTATTCGTCATTTTTTTAAATCTTTAGAACTAGAAAAGGACAAAGAGTATTGATAATGAGATATAATAATATTCTATTCTATTTCTACAGTAAATCCTCTGTACCATTTTGTTAGCAATTTTTTACTGAATTTTACCAGAACTTAAAATAGATATTTTTATTAGCATTCTGCCAAAATTTGTAGTAGATATTTTTTTGTCGATCAATTTGTTTATTGTGTTATTATTTATTCGACATATTGTATTTATATAGAATTAATATTATATAGAATTAACTATGTTACACAATTTCATTAATCAAGTTTAATAATATTCACATAATAATTGCTTTGAAATGTATACTCTCAATTACACAAAGTAGTTTTTATAAAAATTTCTTAAAAGCTTCCAACATTCTAAATTTGTATTGTATCTAACGTAATAATAAGTTATAATGAATTAAAATTATGTCTAAACTCTAAAATAAAAATTTTTTTTATTACGTCATAATATAATTTTAACTTATTAATAAGAATATTAATTCTTTTTAAACAAATATTTTGTAAAATTTTAAATTACAAATTAAATAAAATTTTTTTTATGCTGTTAAAAAGTAAAATTGCTTTCCATTGATTTCTTTTAATAATTTTATTCTCCATTATAGTTTATTGGACATTGTATATTTATATGAAATTGCATGATTCTTTTAAGGAGAGCAAATTTCGAGAAACTGGTGTCTTAACACCAGAGGAATTTGTAGCAGCTGGCGACCATTTAGTACATCATTGTCCCACGTGGCAATGGGCTACCGGCGATGAGGACAGGGCCAAGTCTTACTTACCAAAGGGTAAACAGTTCCTTCTTACTCGTAATGTTCCCTGCACACGTCGATGTAAACAGGTAATATTGTAGTCAGAAATAATATGCAGTTTTCTCTCTTCAGTTTGGACATAATACATGTGTGCCCTCTATTTGTAGATGGAATACAGCAATGAACAAGAATGTATTATAGAAGCTGATGATCCTGAAGGTGGTTGGGTGGACACCCATCATTACGCCACTAGTATTGCTGGCCTAGACGAAAGAGTAACAGAAATGGCATTGGAGGAGACACTGGGAGAACCATCTCAATTTCAAGATAACGCAGACGAGGACGAGGACGATGAAGACGCCGCTGATATGGATGCTTTCGAAATTAGTGGCATGCTAGATGAGCAAGACAAGGTAGCAAGCATAAATCTGTTGAAAAAAGGAAATTTCTTGAATTAATAATTATAGAAAACAATTTTCTTGTAGCATGTGGCGACGGAAAGCATTAAAAAGAGTAGCCACGAAAAACGGGACTTGTTTACGGAGGGAGAGATTATTCGTACTCGTACCTATGATTTATACATTACATATGATAAATACTATCAAACACCTAGATTATGGTTATTTGGCTACAACGAGGTAAAACGTGTATTTATTTTTTTTTCTGATTTCTTAAATCCTTGAATTATTGCATCTCTTTCTAGATCTACTGTATTATTTATTTTACACATTAGAGTCGGAAGCCGCTTAATGTAGAAGAAATGTACGAAGATGTTAGTCAGGATCATGCTAAGAAGACAGTTACGATGGAGACTCACCCTCATATACCTGGTCCTCCTATGGCTTCTGTTCATCCATGCAGGTAAAAAGAAAACAAAAAAAGATATAAATTTTGATGAATTAATAAATTAAAAATAGATCATTTGCACAGGCACGCAGAAGTAATGAAGAAAATTATGGAGACAGTGATGGAAGGCGGTGGAGAATTAGGAGTACACATGTACCTCATAATATTTCTGAAATTTGTTCAGTCCGTCATACCGACGATCGAATATGACTACACGCAAAACTTTATGCTAAACGCAGCCAGCTAAATGCATTACTAGTATTAAGTTATCAACATTATATTGTGATTATTATAAATTGCTTTCCAACTATATTTAGTCGCTACACGAGATAATTGTGTATATCGATGTTTGCGCTTATCATAAATGCAAAGATCATAAAGATATTCGAAATTATAAGGATTTTAAAGAATCATTCAGGAATCTTAATAAAAATATCGAACGATATAAACATTTATTCCCGAGAATCCAAAAATATGAAATTGCACGGATCTCGAGCATTCAGCATTTAAGAATCCATTTGTACATTTGTCCTAATTAATTTTAAGCGAATACACCTCAAAATACTTTTTCTACATTACAAGACACTGAGTTATAAATAGATATTTGATTTATTTTAACAACCGTTAGACAATAAATAAGGAATAAAGGCTATGCTGAAAGTAATCGAAAGGAATTGAAGAGACAGCAAGCGGGCGAGAGAGAGAGAAATATGGAAGTATAATTTCCTATATTTCTTATATATTTATAATTAAGTTAATTATTTTTTAATTTATCATTTACAAAAAGCTTAAAATTTATCAAAATTAATTATAATTATTATGAAAATAAATTGGAATATTCCGAATATTATCTGTGTGTGATATGACCAAATTTACTTATCGTAGTATGGAAAGGTGATTAAAATTTAGCCTTTTCCGGTTCTAACTTCGACTGTTTCCTCTCTGATTTACTTACTTATACATCAAGAAGATACATAATTATTTGCGTTTCACTGATAATCCATGACATTTCCATAAATTTACTCGTGCATAAATTAACATGATTAAATGAACAGCTGACAGAATTATGGGACACCATGTAATGTGATGTCGTGTTTGTTTTATGAGCTAGATACAGTTTTGATATTATGTAGAATTGGAAAGTAACGTGTTACTTATAATGTTGTTACCTCCACCTCCGTTTTTGTTACTTTTTTTCGGTAATAGTAATGTCGTTATATTTTTATAATAAAGAAAGAGAATTCAGCTATCGTTTTAGTTCCTTATTATTTTTATAACTTTAATAAATTATTTTTAATTGGCTAGAAATATTTTATGAGAAACAGAAATTTGAATATTACAAAATATTTTGTACTTCATATCTGAAGCTGCATTCCAACTGCCAATACTAAAAATCTGTATATGTGCGTGCGCGTGCGTACATACACACACACATATACATATATATATAATATATAACGTAATATGTATAAACTAAAGAATAACAATGGCTCATAAACAATAAACACAAAAGTTAAATTAAAGGAGCATATAGCCAGCGCAAAGTTAGTATCTATACGTATATCGATAAGTGCACGAAAAAAGTTGCAGCATGGAATGTCCTTTTTTAGATTTCTCTTTGATAGAACGAAATCGATGTGAAGATCGCAAAACTCCAACTCGAATCTAGTGATGATAAATTAATAGACAATTTTCTCAATCATTCGCATTTAGCAAAAAATGGCTATTTTTTAATACTTTTTTCAAAAAATACCTCCCCTCCTCTCCCCTAAACTTGCTGTCCATAGTCTTATAGAGACCTAGAGGTTAGTCTCTAATATGTTATCTGACCCTGAATGATAAGAGTGTTAAAATAAGTAATAATAACTGTAATATATTGTTTTATCGCGTCAAACAGAACTATGCAAAAAGGTTTCCGCGACCTAATTAAAAAATAAAGAGAAGGCCTCTATCCTATTTATAAATTTAACGTGTACAATTAAATCGCGGGTGAGAAAAAAAA